CTTGTTGTTACTGTTGTTGTTGACGTTGCTGTTGTTGTTGTTGCTGTTGTTTGTTGTTGTTGTTTGTTGTTGTTGTTGTGAGTAGCATGCATAACCAAGATGTTTGCTGGGGAATGTTTTTTAGAATTGAATCAGTTCATTCTAACATGTGATTGATGTTGTTTTAATATGATGCTTAATTATTCATTTGTTGTTGTTGTTGATGAGGATGAAGATGTTGTTGTTATGTTGTTATGTTGTGTTGTTGTTGTTATTGTTGTTGAAACATTGTTACAGAAGTAACAGTGATAAAATTTTAAGTTAGTTCAAGTAAATGATGATGATGATGATGACGATGATGACGATGATGACGATGATGATGATGATGACTATTATGATGATGATGATGATGATAGAAATATTAGTATTATTTTGTTATTCTGCACTGGCATTCCTAGCGGTGATGTCAACAATTACTTATCAATGTTAACAATGCTGATGAAAATATGGATGCCATGTTGATGATGATGACAACTGATAACGATGATGATGATGATGATGATGACATCACTGGAGATGATGATGATGACGATGATGATAGTAATAGTGGTGACGATGACGATGATGATGATGATTGCGACGGTAAATAAGAGTGCCAATGTTATGATGGGTTAAGTCATTACATTGGTATAAAAATAAAGAGGACCTGCCATTGAAATAATAAAATGTTGTTATTGATGTTAGGCGGCTACAATAACATGGATAAATGACATTGCTGACATTATTAACGAAACGAAATTCACATAACATTAACAGTAATGTCACCAACACTGGTTATTTCTTCACTTCTTCACTTTCACATTATCAGTTAAGCACGTAAGTAGTTAAGGATGTAAGATTTTGAAGCTCTCGAGTTAACGAATGTATAAAATAATATACAAAATTTACATTAGTGACAACAGCAACAACAACAACACATCTACCATAACGGTGACAATAATTCAACAAACAACAACAACATCAGCTACGACAACAAAATCATCAACAACAACATCAACTACGGCAACAAAATCAAGAACAACAACGACATCATCATCATCAACAACAGCAACAACAAAAAACAACAAAATCAACAACATCGCCATTAAGAGAACGATAACAATAACATATTGCCACGTTAATCCAGCCATGTGCATTTCTTTTTATACGTGTGTGTGTGTGTGTGTGTGTGTGTATGTATGTGTGTGTGTACATATGTGTGTGTGTGTGCCCGTATGTGTAAACGAATCTAAGTGTTTTTTTATATTTATACGTCCGTATATTTGTATGCAAACCTACGCACATACATATACATTTATGTATGCAGAGTAAGTATATGTGTACACATATGTCTGTGTGTATGTATGTATGTATGTGTGTGTGTATGTGTTTGCGTGTGCGTGCTTACGCATGCCTCTTGATGTGCAGTTGTTGTGCAAGCAGATAGCATTTGAGATTTAAATAATTCCTTCATTAAAGTTCTTCTGTCCGTTCTTCTTCCACGTGATTAATTTTTTGAATATTTTATTAGCGATGGTTAATTGCATTTCTTTCCTGGAACACGGCCGTATAAAAATTTGTCTGTCTGTGTGCGCGTGGATGTGTGCGTAGGCGTACGTGTGTTTTTGTAGGCGTTAGTGTGCATTTTTGTATATATATTTTTGTGTGCATGTATGTGCGTTCAAGTTTTCGTACGAGGTAGACTGAAATCATCAGGTGTTAGTCTCTCCTTCCAAGACCAACCGCCAAAATTTGTGAAGTTATTTACGGTTGATTGTTGATATTTGTGTTAGTTTCTAATAAGGCAACGGTGTAAATTACGTGACACCAGACAGATGCCATCGCGCGCACGTTCGCACCATCGCATTTCTAATTAATGTCGGCGAATGTTCCCGCCCGTTTTTATGTGGATGCATCTGAATATAAAAAGAAGCACACACACGGCACATACGCGTTCATCACGGTGTGTATGTGTTGTGTGTTTATTCATTCGCAGTCAGTTCACATTTTCAGATACACGAGTAGATGGAATAGATGCTAAGATGTGTTTATGTGTTTGTGTGGAGGTAGACGAAGACATGGAAGGCCGATGTAATGCTTGTTGTCTTATTGAATGTGTACACAACCTAATTATTGTTTATGTGCGTATAAACAACTTGTGATGTCAATTATGCAAACGCTCTGCCTGACTTCGTACGCCAGCGTTTAATACGAGAGTGTAGCATGAGCGGACATATTTTCAACATTTTTTCTTGTTTTTCTTTTTAATGCCCCAGTAAATCTTTCTTCAATTATTAATTTTTATAGAAATTTCATCACCGGCTACATTTTATGAAACATTTGCAAGAGATGCTCAACCACCATCCGGAGAATTTCTAACACCTGTGATCGTATTCAAGACAGGGTGTCGGAGTCGGATATTTTTCATCCGGCTCCTCAAAAAATCCCGACACCGACTATATGGTAAATATCTCGACTTCGACTACTAAATGAAAAATACTTTGAAAAACACTTTAAATCCGTCAATGTAAGTATTTTTTTTTAGTAAAAAGTTCATTATATTTATGTTTTAAAACATACTGAAAAAAAATTATATGATTTTATTCCAATCATTAGCATTTATTTTCATTATTAAAGATGATTGCATAACGCAAATCTCTACACACATTTTTTCGTTCTTAAAAACACGATCATAAAAACTGCTTTTAGAATAAAAAATAAACAAAATTTTCCAATTCTTAACACTGTCTGACGACTGAGTCGGATGAAAAATATCCAGCTCTGACAGACTCCTCAAAAATTCCGACTCTGCAGACCTTTCTCCAACCACCACAGTCTGATGATTGAAGTACAGAAATCTGTGCGGCATGTTGTAGCACGTGGGTGGGTGGGTGGTGTTGCTCACAAAAGTTTACGCGAGCACTCGAACGCTTTATGCATGCACACACCTTTCCACATGAAAAATTTAAAGCACCTGAAATTAAAATAAAGTACGAACAACTGCATCAATGTGATCATAAAAAAAATACTATGAATAAGTTCTTTCAAGTGCAAGTGTGCACATAAAAAACATACATACATAAAAAGGCTGCAAATATGTATGTAATATAAACATTCATTATTATGCATGCATGCATGTGATATAAACATTCATTATTATGCATGCATGCATGTGATATAAACATTCATTATTATGCATGCATGCATGTGATATAAACATTCATTAGCAAACACGTATGCAAGCCAGCAAGCGCGCCATCTCGGCATCAGGGTGGATGCATGTTGGATTTCATCATATGATATCTTAATAATCTTAATAAATGATATTGTTTAATTGGAGAAGCATTCAAAATAAATATTCAATAATTTTATGGCAACTCTTTTTTTTTAATTTGAACAGAGTTTTATTCAGCAAAAGCACCGGAGATCAAGATACATATGTATGTGTAGACCACCTTAACTAATACTGTGCATAGAAATCAAAAGACAATACAAAGTGAAATTCAAAATTCAAAATTTTTTAAAGTATGATACTCTTCTTGGATGATTCCCGAGTTGTATTACATCGGCTTATAACGTTTATTGAGTTTGTGTGACTTTTGAATTATTTACGAAAAATTTAATTTGAAAAACAAAATATAACTAATGATTGAGTTTCAAAATTCATTTTTGTTTTGTTTTGTTTTGTAAAATTTTTTTTTGTCACTGGAAGAAGCACTCAAAAATAATGTTTAAATTATTGTTCAAACTCTCAAAAACCATTCAATTATTCAAAAATAAGGCCATAAAAATCAAACGACTAACAGTAAAACAACAACATCAACAAATTCACAACAACAAAAAACAACAGCAACAAACAACCAAACAAAAACACCAACATCAACAAACTTCAACAAGCACCAACAAACAAACAAACAAACAACAACACCAACATCAATATACAAACAACAACATCAACAAAACCACAACTAACGTCACAAAACAATAACGAACAATACCAACACAAACAACAACAACATCAATAAATTCACAGCAACAACAACAAACAACAACAACCCTAAAACAGCATCTCCAATTTCATCTTGCCAGCTATATTTGCATCCATCCTTCTAGAAGAAAACAGATAGGCAGGTATTGAGCAATAATTTTGCTGTTTGCGTGCCTATAAACCAGCATTACTGATAGTCTCCTGAAATCATTTCTATACAATAATAAGGAACAATCAACTAACTTACACACATACATACACACATAAATACATACATACACATGCACAAGCACACATACGTACGTAAATGCATACATAAACACCTATATACACATATACACATTAATACATGCATTCGTTCATGTTTGCATACATGCATGCATGCATGCTTGCACATACACACATACCTACACACCGATGCATATATACACACATTCACACATACTTACATACCTACATGCCTACATACATACATAAATTTGTATGTGCATCCACTCATATAAGTTGTTATGAATTGATACATTCATAATAAATGTGTATAGAGAAAGTGTATATAAATGCATAGAAGCATCAGGCATACATAATGAATAAGGGCATATTGTGTAAAAGTTGCAGTGAGCCATTTTAATCTATCACAGCTTCTCTCTTCTGATGTGTCATCCATCAGAAAATTACGTTGTTAACTTTACTGCTGTGTACGTGTGTGTGCATATGTGTGTGCATGTGTGTTTTCATGTATGTGCATGTTTGTGTGTAAGTATGTGTGCGTGTGTGTTAGTGTGTGTGTGTGTCTGTGCATTGCGTGTGTGTGAGTGTGTGTGTCTGTGCATTGCGTGTGTGTGTACGTGTGCACGTATACATTTACATGTATGCGTGTGTTTACGTGTTCGTGTGAATGGGGTGAGTACAAGTACGTGAGTACAAGACGGTACTGTGGCACAGCAGAGTGTAATCATATATGAGCTTACGGAGACAAACGTGTTTGAAGCAGGAAATAAACAATCAACTAACCACATCTGCAATTTTTTTAAATTTTTCCGCTAAAATTTGATTGCGACTGGTGTTGTTTGTTATAGAGTTGCATTTCATCCTGTGTGGAAGCAAACATTTCACTCGCAGTAACACATCAACAACTTTTTATAAACTAATTCAATATTGTGCTGATATATTTGTTTTTTTCATTTGAAAATTTTTAAAAATTTTATACACAAAATGACAAAATTGTAAGTAATCTTCTTCTTCAAACTCTAACGCATCAAAGATCTCACTAGCTACCAACACCTAAAGAAACCATGCCCGCCAAGCTTGCTTGTTCTAATGGAAATCGACGAAATGTCTAGGTTATTTTTTGTATTTTGAATCAAAACAGCTGATTTTAATCCTTTTATTTCAGTACACAACAGATCCACCTCTGCCATCTGCCATCTGCCGAGGTGCACTTGCATACTTTGCTGTCCCGTCGATGGAAATAATGCTGGTGGTTGCACAAAAACGAACAACACGATGAATGTTCGATTTCAATTCAACATTTTCAAACCATCCCCGCATTTCAACATTGCGGAAATGAAAATATTTTTTTCAATTTTAATTTTATTGAAAAACTTTAACAAATATATCCTTGCATTTTTAAAAGCAATTCACTGAAAAGAAAAAAAAACTGCATTGAAAAAAACAAAGCTTATTAGATGAATACAGACGTCTGGAAGGAGAGCGGATGAGAATGAGAATGATGATGCTGGGTAGGATGAAAGCAGAGTGGAGAATTGTGTCAAGTGTTCAAGGTGCTTCGCGGTGATGGAATGCATGTTGGCAGCAATGTTCCTTCTGCATTACTTTCATTCCACCATGTTTTCTAATTTAAGCCTTTTATCTTATTTCCATTTGTCTGCTTGATCTCTTTGTGCACTGGTTGAGTCACTGTTTTAAATCAAAGCTTCATTATGAATTCAACTTGATCACGCTTCAATGCTGCAAACGCAAGAAAATTTGTTTCTTGTATGGTAATTTTAAATTTGCAAGAGTGGTGCTCTATTTGTTTAGAACGTGATAGGCAGGGAACCTACTCTGGTGTGTGCTGCGGCTTTCTACCGCACGTTGTGTTGTTTATCTTTCGCATTTGTTTTTACGCAGTGAGTCCATTTTTCAGTTTCAAGCTTTGATCCTAAAATGTTTATTTTTTTTGTACTTGTTAATATTCTGTCGCACATTACACTTAATGTTCATTTGAAAGAACTCAAAATTAAGAGAGAAGGAACGCGGATAATTTTTCAAGTCAAACAATCGTGCTTGGATATTCAGTTTTTTAACACGTTATCAGCATAAACTCTTTTATCACAATACTAGAAATAAACTGAATAACATGTTTTGCCTAACATTCCAACACACCACGTGTTTCATATGCATGTCAAAAGTTGTAAGAGGGGCTGGAAATGACCGCATGGAAGATGTTTAATTCGAACGAACACGCAACTCTCTCATTCATTATTTCATGCAGCTCTAATTCAAGATTAACTGAAGATTCCTTGCATATTTGATTACTAATTACAAAATTAATTTGAAAACACGGCTAAAATTTTTTTTAGTTAAATTTACAAGTCATGATTTGTTTTAAAAAAATTAGTTTCCTAAAGTTAATATTAAACGTTCCAGAGACAAATATAACAAAAAATATCTGAGAAGATGCAACTTAACGATGTGAAGAACGACTTAAGACGAAAACTTCAAACAGTAAAAACATCTCATCTCTTTGCAACTCGAAGTTTTGTCTGAATTTTAAAAAATACTGTAATGCTAAAACGTTGTAATGGAAGTACGCCTGCACTCGCGAATGAATTTTCATCTTCATGGTTATATACAAATCTTTTGCAGAAAATTTTTGTTGGCGTATTTGTATGAGTGTATTATGTATGTGTATGTATGTGTGTGTGTGTGCGTGTGTATATGTGAGTGTATGTGTTTGTTTATATGTGCCGATGTTCATATGAGTAAGTTTTATTTACAATACAATTACATCAGGGTCTGAGATTTATTAGCACCAAAGCGCGTTCCTCTTTCAGAGTGTCCACTAACTTGTGTATGTATCGTTACATCGAGTCTCCATGTATGAACACCTCTGCCTAATGTCTTTGGATGTGTGTTTATTTAGGCATGATTACATGCATACATACGTACATTTTTTTTTAATCGTTCACTCGTATACTGTTTTATTTATGATAGTGCTTTTAATATTTTTTATTTAATTAGCGCTATATAAATGAAAATTAATAATAATAATAATAATAATATATACATACATACATACATACACACATACATACATACATACATACATGCATGCATACATACATACTCACCACACACACACACACACACACACACTCACACGCACACGCACACATACATATGCATACATTATTATGCATACATGCATACAATTTATGCATACATACAAACATACATACAGTTGTATGTATGTTTGTATGTATCTATGCACAAGTACAGGAAAGCATGTAAACATGTATATATTTGTGCGTCTGGGCATTTATGTAGCTTTGTAAGTATTATTGTTCAAACCGATGTCAGCCTAAAATGACACAGTATGCAATGGATACACGCACACATACATACATACATACTTAGTGTGTTATATCAATATACATATGATATACGCACAGACAAACAAACAAACACATGCAAATTTATACAAATAAACAAGCATACTTGAGCATACATAGCAATGCATAATTGCATACACACCAACACAAAATGTACGTACAGAACATTACATAGACGTACATACGTTTTTGGACATCTGATGTTTCAGTTACCCTTCCTGCTGCTTGTGCTGCTTCATTGCATCTCTTTAATCCCATTTCGCTCCGTGCTGTTTGTTTTGTTCAATTACATTATATTTCTGGCTGTGATGAGATGCTGTGCTATTGTTTTGTTGCTGTGAGTGCTTTTATTGTTTGTTATGTCTTGTTGTTGTTTCTGTGTTGTTGTTTTGTTTTCGTGTTGTTGACGTGTTGTTGTTGCTGTGTTGTTGTTGCTGTGTTCTGTTGTGTTGTTCTAAATTTGGTTCATTTTGTGGCAAAATAAAGTGCATCTCTGTACCAAATTGTGTGACGCGTTGTCTCCTTGTTATATTTTAAACTTTATGGAAGTGATTATTTTTTTATCTCGATTACAATTTTTATATTTTAAGAAAAGTTGGATGTATTGTTTCAACATTGAGTGATGGATTTGTTTTAGAGCAGACAACGTACACGCCACACGAAGAATCTTTGAAGAAGTACCTTCGTTGTAAATGCAATCTGTTTAACGCGCCAGTGCTTCTACTGAAATGTTTCGGAAGATGCAACAGTTTTGTATACAAATTTTCTACTGAAAATTTTTTTAACAAGTTTAAAAATTTACAAGAATTATCCAGCTCATTTAATTAATTAATTAGTCAATTAAACAATCTCATGAACAAGCTAAACGATAAAAAACCATTTTCGTTGTTTAGTTAAATTTCCTAAAAACCATTAAATTCATTTCACGGTATATTCAGCGTTGATAGAAAGCAGGCCGGCAGTGACATCTAGCCAGCCAGCATTTGCATGCATCACGTTTTACCATTTGAATTGGAACGAGAAATGTTTGTTTATGGTGAGCCAGAGCAGAGCAGGCAGGCAGGCAGCAATAATGAGAGGTGGCAGTCTGGCTTGAAATGATCTCACCCCGCAAGGTTCGAGGCTGACGCGACTGAACAAAATGAAACATTTTATTTCTCAACAATGACAAATATTTTGCCTTTATTTTTCAACGTTGTTAATTTTTTTGTAATAAATAATTCAATTAGCTTGAACAAATATTGAGCTGATAAGCAAATTTAAAAAAAAAATATCGTTATAACCGCCTGAATGATCAAATTGCGCAATATTATTTGTTATCCTAATTATTGTTATCTCTGCTACATTTGTAATCTTTGGATTGTAAACCACAGAGGATTGTAAAGAGATATCCAATCTATGCTAAAAATATACTGTAGAGACTATATAATGATTTGTGGATGGAGATGTTTGAAGAGAGGTTTGATGCGAAGTCGTAAATGTGGTTTGTGTAATTTCTTGGATTAGTTTGGTGTTTCTATCACTGTTGGCATTCAAATAAACGTTCAATCAAGTTTGCGTTTGAAGCGGTTGTCTTCATCTATCGAAAATCTTGAACCTACGAAATAACGATAACTTGACGATCGTTGGAAGCTAGAACACTGGTGTTGGAAATATAGAGATCATTGAAGTTATAACATTGGTGTTGGTAGTAACGAGCGTTAAAAGGTTACAACAATATGATTGATGTTGGATATTTTTAATTGATGTTCATATTTATGGCCGAAAACGAGTGTCGGATAGATTTTTCATTTTTTAATAGATTGAAACTTATTTCTTGGTCATCATTTCTTTTTTAATTGAATGATAAAAATGACCATTTTATTGAAATTCAAATTGTATTGTGAAAAATATTTTGTTTGTAATTGTAATGGTATAAGCATGACAATAAAAATTATCTTTAAAATATCTGAAAATCAAGCGATTAATTTAGTTGGCGCGTTAAACAAACACTCAATTTCAACGTTCAGTTAATTTTTTAATTTTTACTGAGAGGTTTTTGCAACTCTCAACAAACATGTTGATGACGACAAATAATATTAACTGAAAGAAGGCAAATTGATGCTAATAGAATGTTTATAAGTGTTTCTGTGAGAATCACTTTTGCAGCGATTATGAAATGACCACCAAAACAAACAAACAAGGAAACAAACAAACCAACAAACAAACAAACAAAGAACTGTACGATACAGTAGATTTAACATACCCACGTAATAACATCCACCAAGCACCGCCCAGCAACAACATGATTGTATGTATGAATCGTTATGCACTAAAACTTTCATTTGTTGATTCTGCAGATGAGGATAGAGACGATGTAGCAAGTTCATTGCCACCATCGCCAGTGCACGGCGGCCAAACATCTCAAAACTCCACCACAGGCAGTTAGTATAACTTTTCATTATTTTAAATGCACTTATTTAAAACGAATGACTTATATGTGTTTGTGTTATGTGTTTGTGGTATGTGTTATGTGTTTGTGTTATGTGTTTGTGTTATGTGCCTGTGCTATGTGTCTGTGTTATGTGTTTGTGTCTGGTTATTTATTTTGTGCGTGCACACGTTAATGTGGAAGTGTGCGTGTGATTTTTGTGGCAGATTTGCTCATATTTGATGTTCACATGTTAAAAACAATCACATCCAATTCAGTCTGAATGAGAACTTCAGTTATGCAAGCTTCACATCTCATGCCATGTGCAATTTCTTGGCCGTATAAATCTAAATTTACGTGAACGTTGTTTGTGTTTTTGCCGCAAGTGAGAATGGGACGGAAAGTTTGTGGATGCTGTCGCGTCAGCTTGTTGGCGTCGGTGGCTCTCTTTTCAGCTGCACGTTGTTTTAATGAGTAATTGTCCTGGTGACTAGAATGATGCCGTGGTGATGATGGTGTTGATAATGATGGTTGTGGTAGCGCTGAAGACATTGTTGCATGTTGCAGATGATGATGATGACGACGATGATGATGACGATGACGATGATGGTGACGATGATGATGACGATGACGATGAAGATGATGATGTCATCTGCATGTAATTAGCGGGAAGTGGATTCTCCATGATTTATATTCAACAATTCGTAAATGATGACCACTTCAAATGATGTGATAGGGTGATGGTGATGATGGTGATGATGTTAATGAGGATGATAATGATGATGATGAAAAGGATGGTGATGATTGAGAGGATGATGTTAATGAAGGAGGATGATGATGATGTTGATGAAGAGGATGAATACATTTTTTTAAATGATTTTGAAGATGACGATGATAGTGGTGATAGTTTCAAACATGTTGGAAATTAAAATGGTGATGAGAACAATGACGATGATGATGACGGCGCGGTGGTGTAATTGTTAAGGTGCCTGGCACTGATGATGCAGTGTTCGGGTTCAAAACCACGCCAAAGTGTGCGATACATTGATTTACGTGTATCTACATGCACTGTGCGTGTTTTGTACGAATCTCTGAGGAAAATCCAAGAGAGGACAATAATAATAATAATAATAATAATAACAATGATAATAATGAATAAATATCTTTTTATTTTCATTAAAATAGCATACCTTGAAAAAGAATTAATATTGTATAACGTAAAATAATTATAAGATAAATAAATAATAATAATAATAAAGATTAATAATAATGTTAATAATAATAAGAAGAATTGAAATGACGTGACACCCAACCCATCTTAATGATGTGTTACATACCGATAGGACCGAACGATTTCTCGTCGGTTGGCTGGCGAATCATCTGTCCATCGGATCGCCCACCCACCCGCCCATTACCGCCCACCCGCCCACCACCACCCACCAAATTAACCCCGTTATCATCTTTCTCAGCATGATTTAATGAAAACTTGCACAGTTCTTTACGCCACTGACTTGCTGTAATGTGATGGTCATGAAGTTGATGGTGAGCGACTAACATGAGGATGAGGAGGATGATGATGAGGACCGTAGTTGTGTTGATGACGATGATGACGATGGTGGTGGTGGGGGTAGTGGTGATGATGGGGATGGTGAGAATCGTAGTTGTGTTGATACTGATGATGGTGGTGGTGGTGGTGGTGATGATGAGGATGATAATCATGATCATGGTGATCAGCTTGGTTGTGGTGATGACCTTGGTTGTGATCATGATGACGATGATGATGACGTCATGATGATGACGTCATGATGATGACGTCATGATGACGATAGCTGTATCGCAGTAATTGTAACCAAGGCAAGAGATTATATTGCCAGGTTTGACGTGGATGAATGGTAATGACGATGACTTAGAGAAGGCAAGGACGATGATGACGACGATGATGGTGATGATGATTATGATGATGATGGTGATGATGATTATGATGATGATGGTGATGATGATTATGATGATGACGACGACGATAATAAGTTTGATGGAAAGAATAAATTTTCATTTATTACCGGGAAAACGTAATTCAAAAATATTATTCCATGTTATGACGGTGATGTTGATGACGATGAGTGATAATACAATTTTCCAAAATGGCATTGACTAGATGGCATTATTTAGATGTGAGTGTTAATTTTAATGACGGTGACGTCACGGTTAAAGATGGGTGACATGATGATGATGATGAGGAGGATGATGATGATGACGATAGTGAGTAAGATGTCCTCCAGTATGATGGTAAAGTATTATATGATAAGAAAAAGAACAGCTACGTGGTCATTGTGATGATAGCGATATATATATATATATATATATATATATATATATATATATATATGTGTTTGTGTGTGTGTGTGTGTGTTTGTGTGTGTCTGTGTGTGTGTGCTTGTTTATGTTACATACATTTGTTATATATGTACGTTACAAATGCATGTTGTGTATATGCATGTTATATATGTTGGTTACTTACACATGTTGTATATGCTTGTTATATATGTTACTGATGTGGAATGATGGATGGTAATGGTGGTGGGATGATGGAGTGATGCAAGTCATATCCCACCTTGTTTTATTGCATTCAATTTCTGTTCGCTAACCTGTTGCCATGATCTCGCTTTTGCCGGCTCTTTGCGATGTGTGTGTGGTGCGGTGTGAGTGTGTTTATATGTGTGTGTTTATTCATTTGTTTGTATGATTATCTGTTTGTGTGTTTGTTAGTATGTATGATTGTTTAAGCATACAGCAGGGTCTATATTTTCTTGTACGTGTGTATGTTTGTCCAAGTGTTTGTGAACTTTTTGCATTTGGTTTATTGTAATTGTACTCGGTTTGGGTGGGCTCGTTGTTTGTTCAGCGTCTGCATGTGTAGCATAGCAACCAGAGTGTCAGAGTCGGATTATTTTAATATAAGTAATTTTACACTTACTAATTTTAAGTGTTTTTTAAAGTTTTTTTATTTAGTAATGATAATAAAGTGAAATTATGCAAAAATTTACAAAATATTCTGGAATTTTGAACCCGGATATTTTCATCCGACTGCGACATGCTGCTGGCTTCCCGATGGAATCCGATTGAACGTTGCTGGAAACCTCGCATGTACATCAATAATTACGTTAACTACAAACGTTTGTGTCAGATTCGATGAAATTTCTGTGGCATAGAACCAAAGAAACATTTTTAATAATTTCACTGCGTCATGACAAAAGTTGTTACAAGAAAGTACATTTTAATTTAGAATATACCATCTAGTGGAGAGGACTGTCCAGAAGGTTGCGAATCTCAGCAACCCTCTCCACAGCGAACAACAATCAGTGCATGGGAGACATAAACTCAATAAAATGGTAATAAAGAGAAATGTTAACAAAGGCGCGAAGAAATTGGTGCCGAGATGACTGATATAAAAGGAGGTCCTGCAATATAACAGCAATATGAGGCAATCAAAGGCGGAAGTTGATGAAGAAGAAGAGGCATTACGAAGCATTCCTCGCTCATAACATTTTGACTTTCCCGTGCTGTCTGTCGGCTGAGCTGGTGATGCTGAGGAGATGAAAATCTATTGAACTGCTTGCTGCTGCTTGCCAACTATTATTAATATCATTAATACAAGCACACACATTTACACATATTCTAAATGCAAACACACACATCTACACACATTCACACGCATCTACCCACACCCACATAGAAAATACACGTGCAAATGTATTTGCACATCCACACATATTCACACACATCCGTACAGACTCACACACATCCACACACACGTAGGAACGTATTTATATAACGTACAAGAATTATAAATTAAAAATAACGCAATAAAGTTAATTAACTGAAACAATTTTTAAACTACTTCAGAGCACTCTTATCATATTCCTCAATTACAGTTTATCGATTTTACACATTCATATATTAGTAAAACTTGAAGAAATTACATTTTCAACATAAACAAAAACTTTTCTGACATTAAAAAGCGGAATGAAATGCTTCACATTGTATTTGTTTGGTCAGCCTGCATCATTAGCTCCATCTGCTTCAACGTCATCTGGCGACACGCAACTTATTTTCAAACACATCACGCTATTCTGGAAACATGAAAACAAAATTTGAACAAAAATTTATCCAAATAATTTTTACTTTCTGACAAGATAGACACAAAGAAACGTTAACATCAGAAACTTTTTTAAATTTTGTAAAATGTTGATAAACTATTATTGTCAAAATTTGTATTCCTTGAATTTGTATTAATTCATATAAACTACTCACTGTAGTTTCACATCATAGCCGAGTTCGATCTGTCATTTAAACTTTTAAATGTTCAAGCTTTTAGTTAATAACATCTTTTACAAATTTTCATACCTTAATGTAGTTTTTTTAAACTTTACTCTCATGTGTTTATATAGCGTAGCGTAGATTTGTGGTTTGCCTAATTGACATCTATCCTCATTAAAACTGTTTGGTGTAGTTATTTGCAGCTTGAATATGTGAGAAGAGTTGCTGGAAATGTGAATATTATTTTTGGGAGACATTGAATGTTTCAAAGATGATTCCAAGCCAAGTGTGGATGCCAGCATTTTCAATACTTTCAACTCTGGGAACTATTTTGAAACGAAGCAGGCAACTGTCGTAACGACTCCTACTGCGATAGTCAATCATCTCATGCTGTCCTAATGAATTGACCTGCAGTATTTTCAAAGCCCCATTGCTGTATCTGTGGATTAAAACGTTTTTAAATCTAATTTTAAAATAATTCTTTTCCAATTGTGATCATAAAGTTTACAACGGAACCTATGAAGTTTTCAAACTAAATTTCAATTCCCCACCGACACCTATCAACCTTTTCATGAAAGAGTGAAAATGTTTCAACAAGTTTTGCTGAATACTTAACTTTGAACGATGGCATTTTAATGTTCTCGCTTGCAAAAAAAACTAAACTGAAAAGCAATTTAGGTGCAACATTTGAAATACCCTTGGATATTGTAAGCAAAATAAAATATTTAAATTTGAAAGTCCTTGAAAACATTTGCTTCGAAGCCGCCTGCATTGAAGTTTGCGTTGTTGTTTCATTGCTATGTTACATGCAAATATTGGGCCATGTTATATACATTTTTTTTAACTTTTCATACCAACACAATCAAAAAGTATTTCAACAACATCTTCAAACGTGTTTCCGGCTACAATTGTGATGTTGTTAGCTGGCACGGAATTTCAAATTTTTAATGAATCCGTTGAGATTGCCATGCATACTTTGCAGCATCCACTCAGACGATTCCATTTCCTGTTGTATCTTTCGGGATTACTTTTCTTTCATTGCATACATTTTGATACCAACGCATCTTGTTTGCTTGTCTTTTCATATTTCTTATGTTTATTCATCTTTGTGGTCGTCACGTGATGTTGTTTCGACAAGCTGAACGAACAAATCCGCGAAACATAAAACAATCATTGAGGAAATTCCGATCATAAAATTTTTAATTAAACGTTTTTAGTTGCACAGCGTGTAGAGGCGTGTTTTGTTTCTTGATGCTCACAACAACATAACATCAACACTCAACAACATGAACAACAACAACAACATGAACACTCAACAACATGAACACTCAACAACATCAACAACAACATCAACAACTACAATATCATAACGACAACAAGCAAACACAACAACAACACTCGACATAACAAACACAACAGCATAAAAAACACTACAACAGCAAAAGCAGCAACGTCGTAACAACAACAAAGCAGACATAACAAAAACACAACAACAATAAAATAAGCACAACAACAAAAAACCAGTCAGAGAGATTAAATTGAATCATGTCAGATTGTATGCTGGCCAGACAAAACATTAGAGCATATTTATTCTTACTGGCACAGTGCAGATGCACAGGCAGTTGATTTATCGGAAAGTTCACATGCACCACAGCAACAAACACATCACTGCAACAAAC